TTGAGCAGTATCGGCAATTCAAGGAATTTTATTTTTATTTGTTCTCAATCTTTGTCCAGGTTACTTATCATACTTCTTTCTTGGAATTTAATGCATTTTTTTTCACCACAAGGTGGGAGCTCATTTGAAATTTTATCTCCAACCTGAAATGCAATTCACACCCAAGGATGAAAATGTAACCAGAAATCTTGTTAACATCTTACACCTCCTATTGGCATTCAAAGCCGCAATTCGCAGAAAAGTGTTTCCTTTGGGGAATCCTCTCGGATTGAGGTCTTTTTCTCTCTCTCAAAACATGTACACAGGAAAAAATTCCCCTACACTAGCCAGAGGCCATAGATTTACATGGGTAATAAAAAATGGGAATTACAGTACAGCCCCTAGATCTTTAAGGTAGTGTATCCCTTGTTGAAGCAAACATCAAATTCTGTAGAACTTTGCAGGAATTATGAATATGTCACGTACGACCTATCTGTGAAATTTAAACGCAGTGTCCTAGTATTCAAATAATGCAAGGAAACAAGGTGGGGGAGGGGGGGGGGGGTGGACTCTGAAAGATTTGTCCATTTTTACAGGAATTCTCATTTGCATTTCAAATGCCAGGGATGTATACCACATGGACGAATGTATCAGTGTTCAGATAATTAATCAACAAAAAGTAAGTTATAATAAATTCACAGAAATCTTCAAACACTCTTTTGGATCAAGTTATCTGCTTCAATAATTGAATTCTTCTTGGCTGATGATGAAGAAGTTCAACCTTGTTCTTCGCTTCAAGGTACAAGTTTGCGCAATACAAATTTTTGTGATTTCTTATGAACAAGGTGAAATATCAGCAGGATCGACAAGTTTGATACATGTATTTCTTTTTTAGTTTTCATAATGGTTCTCCTCTTTTGCATGAATTTCCCCTGAAATATAGAAATACATGTAGTGCAACTGCCCCTTAAAATTATTAAAAAAATTTCTTCTTCAAAATATCAAAGAAGGAAATTAAGCAGAATGTGAGGAAAACTATTGAAATCTTCAATTAAATGATTTGAAAGAGAAAATGGCTTATACCATGACAACTAAAATTATTAAAGGTAAACCATTATAGCTTACCTTGCAAAATTGTTCAAATTTGAGCTTAAAAATTGAAATCCTTGATTTTTGTAGGAAATAATGGTCAATGTCATTGTATCAACCTCTGCTAAAAATACATGCTATACTTTCATATTTCAAGTCAGTTCATAAAGAGGATGTTCCTGCTGTAATAATGTATATGTACACCTCATTATATCTTTCTAAAGACATGAGAAAGACAGACTTGGAGAGAAAGTGAGGGGGAGAGACAGAGAGAGAGAAAGAGAGAGAAAGAGAGAGAGAGAGAGAGAGAGGGATAAAGAGAGAAAGAGAGAGAAGAAGCACCTCAAGGATCTTCTGTGTACTTCACTCTTGGATGTCATGAAGGCCGGAGCAGTGATCTTTCTACAAGACTCTATCTCATCAGCAAGATGGAGTTTATCAAATCAATTATTAATGCAGCTCTCATGCTCGGGACAATCTTGGTGATACACACACCTGGGAAACGGCTAGCTGCGATGGAGAGATTCTTGGAAAAACCCTTCCACGCTGCCATTAAAGCCCCTGCGTCAGTCATTGCATTAGGCGCGTGGGCTTTACAATGAACTTACAGATAAATTTGGTTTGTTCATTCGAAGAAGGTTTTATAAGAAAGGGTGAAATTAACTATGAACAAATGTCTTTGGCATTGAGCTTACTAGATCCACAGCCATATTAAATTCTTTTTGGATAGTAAACAGTATTTTCAAAAAAAGTTTTTATCTCATCTTGACATTTATTTAACAACCGGTACAACATGAATAATTAAACACTAAATATAAATGTTCATGTTTTTCTGTATGTACATGTATATGCTGACTACCTGTGCAGTTTATACAATTTGATCACTCCCTTTATGTGAACTCTCTTTGTATATTACAGATAGAGAAAACATGTACAACCTCACATTTCTAATAACAATCACCCAGGCGATGGTATTCTATTTCACATTACTAAGAAAGTCACATTAACCACATGTCTGGATATTTCTGGTTAAAAAAATATGTACATCGTACCTTTAAAAGATTGAATTGCAGTTTTCTGGGAAAAATCTATTTCATAGATACATGTAGATGGATGTACAAACTGTACATTGAAATAGGTAATATACTCTCTCTGGTATTTTTCTTTTGTTCTAAACTCTTTGTTTCTCTATCGGTGCAAGGTATAGAATTCCTATGGAAAATAATTTAAAATCTACACTGTGCTATGTACTTTATAAGTGTAGCTTTTCAAATGCATCCTAAAATAGGTCTACACATTGCATACTGGGAAGCAAGATAGCTTTAATGTTGTTGTTCATTCAATCAATTTTAATCCATATTACATATGATACAGATCTCTTTAACTATATAATTATCTTTTTCTAATATCTTTCTGCATTACCACTATATTGATAAAATCATTTAAATTAAAAAATTGAAATTGAAATTAACTAAAACCTTCTTTATGGATGGTTTCTTACACTTTAGAATGAATTGATGTATTTACTATCTTGACCATGCCAATAAGTTAAATAGTCCCTTAATTCCCTGTACAACATTCTTTCATGGAATTAGTCTCTACAACAGTTGATTTCAATTAAAAAAAGTGACAACATTTTTACATGACAATGTTTAGAAAACCAACTAACCATATGATAATTTAGGTGCTGTCGTACAATTCAAAATTATTTTCACTTTCATGACCTGCCAGTATAATCACATTCCTCAAGGCTTCCAGTCATACCAGCATTATTTTCATGTTCCGCTTTTCAAATGATTTTTTTAATTTTTGTTCACACAATTCCACAAATAATAATATCTTTATCACAATTGTGGCACTTCCCAGGCACCATGACAAAAGAAAAATTATTGGTGAGATATTATTTATGACATCCAAGAAATGTTAGACTTAGCTACTGTTGATTTTTATTTCTTCCTCTTGTTTCTTCTTCTTCTTTCTTTCTCCCGAATGTTTTGTAGCTCAGGGCCCCGTCTTACAAAGAGTTACGATCGATCCAAATCAATCGTAAGTCCTCCAATCAATCGCAAGTTTGCAGTCTCCTATCTCTTATGTACATAGTTACGATTGATATCAATCGCAAATAAGTTACGATTGATATCAACTCTTTGTAAGACAGGGCCCTGGTATGTTAAATATTTAATACAACTTATCGTCTTTCTTGAAGGGGCCTGTAATTCAAATTCAACATTTGACAAGAATCACACTGTATTTTTTTTTACATACTAATGAGGCACCTTTGCAAAGTAAACTCTGTCATCCAATTCTTAAACTTACTTTCCATAGAAACACATTTGCGAATATTGAAGGGAAAAAAGGGATTTCTACCTCTAATATTAAAAACAAGATGAGGACTAAATCAAATGCAATCAATTCTTCAATTTGAAAGTTTTCTATTAACAAGGCCAATAACAATGAGTACCGGAAGCCAAAATAAATTACTGGAATGTGAGGTTTGTATTCCTGTTCAAGTCAAATATAAAGTGTGCTGATACGTGTAGTACAATCTGTAGAAAGCTGCAAATCACAACACAATGCCTTTGCAGTATCACATCAAATCTCTAAATGCTCATTACGTAGACGTATTTGGGGAAATGATTAACTCTCAGGCAACGACCGTTCCAATATCCACATTCACCCGTAGAAGATAGAGGACTTTCAAAAAAAAGTATTTTCACAGAAAAGAAAAAGCATGCCTCTCACTGAAACCAGTGCACTCTAAGTCAAACAATTCCTTGAAGAAGTATGTGAATCAAATTAGTAATCTAATTGGAGCCGTATTCAAGCCTCTGTTTGCTATTCTTGGAAATTGTCTTCATTAGCATCGACTCCCAATTACTTTACTCTTCATTCGTTTCTGCCCATTTCGATTACTGAATAAGTCTGGTTTTGAAGAAGACGGATAAATTGATCATGATGTAATGCAAATTGAAGAAATTGAAGAAATTTCTCATGACTAGCATTAATTCAAATCAATATCAGTAGAAATTTAGGCAATGTTCCATTAAGTGGATATTTGTCAGTTGCTAATGGGATTTCCAGTTTGGAATTTATATTATAATTTAATATCAGCCCATGCCGACAACTCAATTTGACATCAAAGACCACTTCTCCAGCTCATGAACGATACAGTACACTTTGGACATTAAAGTGTCACTTTTAATTACTCTGCTACAGGCTTATATCATACGATGTACCTTGTATACCAAATATTGTCTCACTGAATGGACGGAGCATGCATTTGAAGTTTACTCTGCAAGGGTTTAACAAGAAGTCCTAGAATATTTTGGAACCTTTCATAGCATCTCTGAAGAGAAATCTGAACGTTTCTTTATTCATAAGCGCTTTTCTTCAGGCTATGACTGATGATGAAGACGAGAAGACCCAGAGAGGGGGGGGGGGGCGGGGAGCAAATATAGAAAGATAAAGGAAGTATCATGCAGAAAGAAGGAAAAAAAGACATCAAAGAATGAGAAGATGAGAGCATAAATCCAGATACAGTAAAAACCTCTCTATTGAGGCCACCCAAGGGAAAGAGAAGCAGTTACCTTACTACTGTATCTACAGGTGGCCTTAATAGACAGGCTCTACAACACACATTCTTTTCTCAAGGGAGACAAGATGCATGGCCATTATAGACAGGTAGCCTTTACAAGAGAGATGGCCACTGGGGCATTGTGGTGTGCACCTGTAATCCAGCTACATATTGAAGTTACTAACTGATTCGCCCGAGGACGCAGGTTCGAAACTGAGTCACATCTTTCAGATGGTGACGTTAAAGGTCGGTCCCCAGACTAAATAATCATATCTGATTGATACACGTCTGTAAAAAACCAATTACACACACACAGAGAGGTTTGACTGTATACAAACGAGACAGTAGCATTACTCACCACAAGGTCTTCTAGTAAGAGTGTTCTGACGATGTAGTAATGATGTCTCTCTTGTCTGAGGTAGGTCACTTTGAGGAGTGTGTCCTCACACAGAAGCTCGTCTGTGTTCCCGTTGTCTTGGCCACGAGGAAAGTAGTCAGCACACTTTTGCTACAAGAAACAGATATTAAAGACCCACATGTTATTCATAAGTTACATAAAACACAGCCAATGGGAATGTGGTTAAGACTTGGAGAATGAAAGAATGAAGTATTTAACAGGTTCACATAATATCGGGTCCATAAACTGGCAATTATATCTTCCACTTTTAAAGGGATCGTTTAACAATGTTAAATCTGAGATACATGGTCCTACATGTTACCAGTGTGATATGGTGTAATATTGAAGCCCTAAAAAAATTGCGCTTCAAAATGATCAGGAAGTGCCTCAATAAAGTAAAAATCTTTGAGTGACCAGTTTTACCATACTCGTTTTCCCCAATAGACTGTAGTGTTATGAAAACTGTTCGGCGAATGGTTTTCAAACTTTGTAATTCCAATCATTAATATCTTGATAATCAGACAGGCGATCGGCTTGTAAAAGTCATGGAGTTCCTGACTGACCTAAAGGTTTATAATTATCATTGCAGCATGAGCTAAATCAAGGATTATTTCTAAAAGATCTAAGACAAAGTTACCGGATCCCTTTAAGCCTCATAAATTTGCTTCCTTGTTACGCAAAATATCATCTCAACAGAGATCACACAATGCTTGACTTTTGGGGCTTATAAAAGAAACTCAAAGAAGAATTTGAGAGAACTGCTCCATGGTCCATTTATTGTAACACTTTAGTCAAATTCTAACTTCAAACCCAGACCCAACACTAAACCCAAACCTAACCTTAACCCAAATCTAAACCCAAATCTAAACTAACACCAGATATTTGGACCCTATCTCTTTGGTGTTAGTCATCCATTTTGTATTACCCTGTACCTACACTACCACAAAAGTAAAGAAAACAAGCAACTGGCTTCCTGGCAACCATCAATTTCCAACTAACCGATAATTAATATAATATAATAACAATTTATAATAATTTAATAATAATAATCAAATATAATGACTTTTGATATAAATAGCTCCCCACTCTACCATCAAATTGACATGAATAACAAGGGATTTATAATTACTGAATGCAGAATATTCACAGAACGGCAAGAATATAGAGAGTCGGCCACCGAAAAAACACTAATCTAATTAATGAGCATGGATGAATTCTACCTAGGGCTAATGTTGCGAGCTTGTTGTACTTCTTGACTTGCTTTCCAGCTGCAAAACTGGAGCAATTTGTAAAATTCATATGAATGTCATTCCAGCAAGCAGAGTTATTAATGTTCCCTAGGTCTATTCTGAATTCCAAGAAACGCTGTCTCTGAAATGAGTTGGGATGATAAATTGCTGCATGGCTGCCAAATTTTCCTAATTCATCACTTGAAGGGAAGGGAACGGCAGGATAATGTCACAAAGGTTTTAAGTATTATGCAGAAATGGTCCCTATGAGAAAGAAAGGTCGTTATTTCAGGTACGATGAACTGGCAAAAAGACAGCTAAATAAATGTTGACATTCTTTCTTTCATTATCCAACATGGGACATGTATTAATATTACCTAAATTGACATAACAATTGAAACATATTTTGCAATGAAAAGCTTATAATAACCTTTTTCATTGTATGAATAATATCTTTTAAATGCACACACAAAAAAGGTACATCTAAAATGCCAATCACTTATGATTTGACAGATAAATGGTTTATTGATAAATATTAAAAAAACCATCACTGTGGCAAAACCAAATTGAAATGATTTTAAAATGACAGACTGCAATAATAACAAATAACAAATAATACTCACCAAATGATAGAGCGCATACAAAAATCATAATTAGCATTGAAGAAAAAAATTGTAAAATACACCTGTATCTCAATTAATTTTGTTTAAACTAATATGAGATGACAATGTTACAATTATAAAAGCAATAGTTGATATCTTTATTCATAGATCTGTTATATTGGCACCGTACAGCAATTGAAACCTGAGTCGATATTTTATTGATAAATTGAGATGACTATTCAATTGTAATGAAACCCAACCAGACCCAAGATCGAGTAGACATACATACCTGGTGATTTTCCACAAAGTTATTTAGCATGATGATTGCTCTTGAGTCCTGTTCCCAAACCATCTGCCAGAAATGACATACTGTTCTCGTGAGGGGTCCCTGGGAGAAGTAGAAGAAAAAAACAGAGAATACCGGCTTAAAAGTATGTTTTAAAAGTATAATTTTTAATATGATAATGTAGATCCTTGACTACGTAGAAAAACAGAGAATATTGACATATAATATAGAAAAAGTTTAATTATAACATGTAGATCCTAATCAGTGATTGGTTGATATCAGACATGTGACCAAGCAGCTATATTAGCTATTGCCCTTCTAAATCTATCCATTCTAATTCAATTAAAATACACTTTCCAAGAAGAATTTTTATATTTCTTTTTAGCCTTTTAGTCATACACCATTTTCTAGTAATTCCCAATCAGTAAATCAATCATATTTTGGAATACTTGTGCTCACAAAATAATTAAATAAAGTGAACTTTAAAATGAAACATATAAAATATTATTTCCAAAAAGAAAGCAATTATTTCTCCTCTAGCCTAGGAACAATCACACTTCATTTCCAAGTAATGCAGGCTCCATATCAGTTCAACCTTGTAATTTTCAGCTAGTAATAAATAAAGTGGATTTATTTATAGAAATAGATCTGAAATGGCAGCTTTTGTGCATCCTATTTTGTAAATGAACAAATGTCATCTTGCTTGTATTTATAAACCTTAATTTCAGATAAACACTTAGCCATCATATGAGCATAAAATACTGTTAATTCATAATGACAGATACTTACCTGAGTAAGTATATACTTGCGCTTGGCAAGAGGAGCTTCGATGAGGCTTGCATTGATATACCTTACGTCTCCTCTCTCCAGTCGAATTCTAGTGTGATTGTCTGAGGAAGAAAAGAAGAAGGTGCACACAAATGTACATCAGGGCTCACCTCACAAAAAGTTGATGATGAGCTAAATCAAAAGCTTCTTTCGTCAAATAGGGTTAGAGTTATTGTTAAGGTTAATCATTTCTGGGAATAATTGGTATTTTCATGTAAATCATGCCTAATTGTTCAGTAAATGTGCTCATCTAACGCAGTATGTAACAAATAGAAAGGAATGCTCTGTTTAGATCATGCTCAAAAGAATTTTTTTTTAAATGCTCTCATTTGACTTGCAAATTTGTCATAGAAAAGAATCCTTGTTATGTGTTAATTAAATTGGAATTTAGAATTAATTCATAGATGCAAAGTATACTGTTCTCAATTAAAGAGAGTTTAAATCAAGAACGACTGATCATTTGGCATTGGACAATACCTTAATATATCAAGCATAAAACCATTTTCCTACCGGTATAAAAAACATATCTTTATTGCAAGGAAGTTACTTTTCTTACTCTTCTTGAATGTAAATTTATTTCAGAGAAAAAACATAAACCCAATTTTGACAGCGATAGATTAAGCAGTCCATGCAGTATTTGACCCAATTCTTTTTTTTCCACTTCTTGTTTTTTCTTGTTTTTCCACTTCGCCCCACATATTCTACGATGAAAAAGTTTAATTTTCACACCAAGATTTGCATCATCAACTAAGGCATCTCTTCAGCAGTTGGAAATGCTATTTAAACATGCCACACACTTTACAGAGTTTGCAGGACCTGGGATTTCATATAAATGCCGCGAGACAAAATTCTGAGAAACACAAAATTGGGTTTATGTTTTCTCTCTCCCCACTGAGCTCCTCAAGATGCCTTGCTTCGTTCAATCCCGAGGCATTCCGGGGACAAAACAATCTGTTGTGGAGTCTAATACCTATTTCTATTCGTCTACATGCATGCATTCTTCATGACAAAGCTCCCATTATTTGCTATTATGCGCCATTATGCATTTTTCCTATCTTTAAATCTTTGCAGTGCAATGAAGTTTCTTTATTTCCTCATCCCACTGCTCTTGAATGTACAAGGATCTCCTCAATTACTTTAACTTGTTTCTTAAACTGAAATATCTTTCGATTAATCACCTAATCCTATCTCTAATCCCCATCATCCTGGCATATCTTTGGAAGATATAAACGCTACATTGCTCTTTCTTCAAATCCCAGGCCATTCCCCCCCCCCCATTTCTATCGACAGTATAGAGAATAATCATGATTATTTTCTACGATCATCATGAATGTGTTATTTTTTACTTTCTCCTCACCCCCCCCCCCTCCCTTCTGTCTGCATGTCTCTCTCTCTCTCTCTCTCTCTCTGTCTCTCTTTCTCTCTTTCTCTCTCTCTCTCTCTTTTTCTTCCTCCCTCCTTCTCTCTCTCTCTCTCTCTCTCTCTCTCAGAGGGGTACTTCAGGAAATCTATTTCTGTGACACAATTTGCAATCAATCATGTCTTTTAACACTTTTGATTTAGTTTCAACTATCGAGAATAAAAGGTTCTCCACTACAGTAACAACAACCATAACATATTTACATGGGTGGATATCCCTGTATCTGTTGAGTCCTTTGTTAATTGGATCTTTCGCATCAGTCGTTGGTAACTCGTACAAGCTACTCTCCTTGTGAATATCCTGAAAAGAAAAGAGGATAAACAATGTTTATGCTATTGTTTTGATGCTGAATAAAGGATATACATGTGTACTCAATTATTTAATGTACATTGTAATTAGGTCCATTAGCAATGAGTATTGTTTTTGTATCATGATAAGAAGATAACATCATCATCATTTATTAAAGTCAGCATTTTCTCCTTTACAAGGGGTTACTGACTTTCGTGCCATGATGACACTTCCTCCCTCCACTTTTTCCTGTGTCGAGCATCCTCCTCATTTTATAGACCAACCTAACTGCTTTTTTTTCTTTACCGTATCTTTCCATGAAAGCTTTTGTCATCCTTTCCTTCCTATGCCTTTTACTTCCAGATCCTATTCTTGATTTAAAGGTAATGCAAAGTTTTGGGAAATTTTAAAAATTTGATTTTTAGTAATTCTTTAAAATTCTGATATATTTGGATGCCCCTGTGGATGTATTATAAGCACTACAAAATTTACCCCCTAAAACACTTCTGCTTTTGAGAAATTGAATAATAACAAATTTGCTGGTGCTCCCGGTAAATTTCAAATATTTCAAATAGCGCCTAAGGACATTCCTTGGTAGCTGTGATCATGAAAATCTCAGAATATGCAGTTCTGATATATGATTTCCAAACGGGAAAAGCAAATCGGTCGATCGTAGTCAAGAAACATTGTTTTAGAGCTCAAGTAATATTAGTCTTGAGAGGGCGCTAAATAACATAAAGAGTTTATTATTTACAATTTCATCACTTTAGACTCGATTTCAACTGCGACAACGATCATTGAATATTGTTAAGTCGCATATGCTTCCAATATGTTCATTTGAACCAAATACATGACCCCATACTAAAACTTTGTAATACCTTCAAGAAGATAACAAAGACTTATTAAAGTAGAGTAAAACACACTTCAATTTGAACTCAATCTTTAAATCTCTGCCAAACTGTTTATCCACGAAACAAAAGTTAATAACCAGTGAATAAAAAACATTTGGTCTATTACTGGAATGCACATGATCACATGATCATTCTTATTTCTTTGTTTCAATGTGCCAAGGTTTTGACCACTCCAATGACGTCATATGTCCATGACTGTGAGACTGCATGGGTGAACTTCCACATGTATATCCTGTAGTGGTTTATTACTACACCACTTCCTCAGGGAATATTAACCATCATCCAAAGTTTTTTAACTTCAATAGTACAAATAGCACTAGTAGAATGAATCTCTGCACTATAAAGGAGACATGAGGTCATGTGAGATTAATCCAAACTCAATAGTAAATTACTCTGAAAGAAAGCAGGCAGAAAAAAAAGAGATGCAGATGTTGAAACTTTAAACGAAATTGGATGAAAATAAGAAAGGTATGATTTCTAAAATTTGCAATCACGATACGTATTACACTGTACATAGGAAATTTCAAATCGGCTGAATCGGTAATGTCACTGTCATGTAGTGGGGAAACCTCTTCCCAAAATTTGTTCCAATACATAAAATGACTAAAATGTCAATTTTTCAAAAGGCATTTTCTTAAAAGACCTAAAATAATGTGCTATCCATGTTATATTTTGGGAAGTGCCTCAAGGGAGAAGTTGATTATATGACAAAAACAGAAATAAATATTTTTGCACACAACAAATGGGAGAGTTGTCCATGACTATGTCACAATCAACTCACCAAATTGCTGATAAGAGATTCGCACAGATTTAGTGAATACATATATTTCAAACTTTTTTTATTACTTTCTTATCATTGGTATGAAATTATTCAAACTTTGCTAATCTACTCCTCTTATTTTTCTACTATCATACAAATGAACTCATTACTAAAGCTAGGTTTCCCTTTAACTTTAAAACATACATGTACATCTCTTTCAATTGCCTTTGATTCATTAAAACATATAAAACAATACCAAAGGATTAATAAACTTTACACTGAAGGATGAAGACAGAAATTTCTTTGCAACTGTCACAAGATGACTGTCACAAAATGACAAGACAATATATACCCAAGTCTATTCTGTTTCAATGCACTCTAAAGACAAATAATCATTCCCACAATACTCCTTATCTTGCCTACAAGTATATCTCAGAAAAGATTGATTCCAACTCTCTGACATAGAAAGTTTGAACTTCTAATCTTGTCCATGCGAATATAAAGAGACTGCACATGTGAGCAATACATTTAAGTGTTCAAGAAACATTCAAAGCCTTTGCCAAAAATGATCAACAAAGGAGATTGGTAAATCTAGGTACTCTATAATCTTAACTGATGTTTTGTATTAAAGAAACTGTTGGCCTTTATTTGGAAGATGCTCTGATATGTGTTAAAATAGATCATAGGGTTGTGATCCATCATTTATTACTGAGAGGTGAAGGATGACTGTAATCAAGCTCAAATTTATTTAATCATAAGGTTAAAGATAATTTTGAAAAGGTGAAATTGAAGAATTTGCTGGTGGGAATATGGGAGAGGCATTGTTGATCATTATGGGATAACGAGCTAATGCATCAAAAATGAATAAGTCAATGGTGATGTTTTCAGTATGGATAGTATGAATTATACCAATAAATCAAACTCATGTGTGACCCATCACAACATTCTCATGTTCAGAAATGACAGATGATCCAATCAGTAAAAATACACCCAAACCATCATACCTTAAAGTATGTTAACCTTAATGTATGAACATCTTGCTAGAATATGTATGCTCATTCACACATGTACATGTACATGGTAGCAGAAAACTGCGGCTGTTTAGTATTTACCATAGCGTTTTTTTTTTTTGGGGGGGAGGGGGGTAAAACATAAAAGTGAGTGGGACATGGGGTATAATAAAAGAAGTGTATTTTCTTAAGCTTCTAAGTTTTCCATGAAGTAAATGAAACACATAATGAATTTCTGCAACTCAAGAACATTCTTTGCCCCAAAAGAGCAGTCTGTAAGAATCTACAAAAGATTTTTCTTTCTACAGAATAATAAAGTAATATTTTTTATCCTTCGTTTGGCAATTGGCATATATGCAAATAAGGAATTAATATGAATTTATGCCAATTACTAACAGAATAGAAAATACTTTGGAAACAAATAATATCATTCTAAATGACATACAATGTACATAAATTTAATTCAAGAATACCAGCCTCTTTCATTTACAACAGGAACTAGCATAAGCACACCATCTGTTTTCAATGAAACGTTTCATGGAAATGATACTCATAATCATAGATTGGATTTACATGTATGATACTTGCAAATTAAGAAAAATATTAGAAAATATTTCAAATTTCAAAGCAAATGTACATATGTGTACCCTCAGGAATATTTTCAATCAATTTACATGGTTATTTTTTTGATAAAGCTAGAATTGCTCAGCATTGAAACGAGAGAACCATAATCAGGGCATTATTCAGTGATATTCTATAGCAACAGGGTTGGAAAATAAAGTACCATAATGAGCTTGTCAAGGGCATTTTTGTTTTTTACTTGAGATATGTTACCTACATGTAAATGAGCTCCTTTTTTAGTACGTGCGATAATTTTGTTAAGGTGACAGCTTGGTTTTAGATGAAATATCAAGAAAAAATGATACTTTTAACGGTAACTACATGTACAAGCACATGTTTGTTCATTAATCCAAAACACTTGACAACATATGAGACACAAAATTGCTCATTACTTTAAAAGTTACTTGATAGCTTGATCTTAAACTACTGTAAAACCAGCATTTTTGCCACAAGAAAGTTCACATATGAAAGACATTTGGTGCTGTGCTGCATACATGTAGCACGAAATGACTACAGACCGCTTGTAGAACTAAGTTTCACACAGCTTCTGTTTTTTAGTCCTTTTATTGTAGGACTCTACTTCCGATGAATCATATTAAATACCTTATTGACAAATGAAGCTCCGCTGCTGTCTAGATAATAAACACATTTTCATTGTCATAGACACATTGCCAAATGCATGAACCATTTTCCTTGCTGTTAACACTGTTACGCAATCTTGCATAATTGTGGTCGCTAAAGGGCATTGACCAGACAACAATTGTGTAGTAAACCCATATTCCTATTACAAGAAATGCAGACTGAATAATCTAATCAGAACATGAGGAGGAACTGTAAGTCTATATGTGTGGAATCTGAAACAAACTCAATACTTTCACCTAGATTCAGTCAACTTCATTTTTTTTTAAATCTCCCATTGCATCACGTATCAAGACATTCTCCCATGGTGGAAATGCATTGTACCCAATAAAAGAGCACTTCCTAAAATCTGCATGATTCCATTTTTCAGTAAAACCTGTTGCCTGCAACTTTCAACATTGGAACTCTGCTTACCTGGAATTTCTTTTTTTTTTGTTATAAAAGTAAATCCACCAATTAATTTCTCAATAACATTCTTTGCTCTGTAGGTATAACACTATCTGAAATTATTTTGTATCAAGCTACATGTACATTGAACATTTCCCTACCAAAACATATTTCAAAGCTTGATGCGTTAACACCCTTCTACAATGTAGCTTCAAACAGATGACATTGGATCTGAATCAAGTTCAACAAATTCATCAGGGTACTCTAAATTCCTATATCTCACCTCTTTACTATACAGAACACTCAATGTGTTCATACTGTGCAATTGATAGTGTGCCTTTCAATCATTCATGACGAGAAACCAGAGACTACATGTATGCACTGCATGAACTCTACCCAGAATGTGGGTTAAGAGTTCAAGCCAGACCTTGATCTTACCTGGAAAACGCATGGCAATGACACTTAAAGATATAGACTAGTAGTGGTAAAATAAATTGCGGTTCAAGGGTTTTGGGTGGAAAATATCCATTCAAGATTGTTTAAATATTGCCTTCAGAGGTTTAGATGGCACTACTTCAACCTAAATTCGCAATAAAGCAAAAATATATGCCCGAATGTTCAATGTTGAAGTGCATTCGCGATATCTATCCAGGCCGGATCAATATGATAATTTACCAAATATAT